TGAAAAGTGAAAATAAAACATTGAATAATGAAGATATTTTATATCACACAGAGAAAGGAAAAGAAACAAAATGAGTGAAACTTTTACAGAAGTGCATCATATCAGTGATGATGAAAACTCAGAAGATACAAACAAACAAGGCAAGTTAAAACAAAAAAAACTTATAATGACAAAAGTTAATAAAAACTCCCTATCAAATATAGATACAATAGAGGATCCCATCCTAAGCAAACCGTTGGAGAAGCTTATGGATCGAGCGCTGTTGCGCAATATACCTCAAGAAGAGGAAATTGTTGCTGTCAGTGCACAGGAAGGTGACGATGCATTGGCCCGGTTTTTACCAGCATTGCAAGATTGTGAACCAATTTGCACTCTGGGAACAATTGCAAAGCAAGTTGTCAAAAAAATATATAAAAATGCAATGGCCAGCTGCAACAAAAAAGACATTGTGGCAGAATATAATAAAATACTGCCACTGGTCGGAAATACCATAGTGGGGAATGTACCAAGAATTAACCACCCCCTATGGAATGCGCTCACAAAACCATCACGGAGCGTAGACACAATGCTGCAAAAAATTCAGAATATGCTGATGTGTGTCAACAGTGGAATAGTGAAAGTGTTTATCAATAAAGGTTTGCCTGAAGCATTGCGAGACACCATGGGCAACACCCTAAAAGCCCTAGCAGTGTCATACATGATGCTGCAGGAAGAAAGGAAAAAGAATGTGTGCAACAACGCAAATGACAATGTCCGCGCAGCATTCCAAAACAATCGGATCCCGACCCAGGCCTTTGGAGAAAGCTGGGTCAACCTATCGGATGGGGATCTCATCAAAGAAATTGATCAACTGGTGAAAGCTGATCTAGCACTAAAACCAGGAAACACAAAGCAAAGCTGGAGAGGAAAATCTCCAAGCGTGCATGGTGGTCACAGTTACAGATCAAGACCATATCAAAGGCCTCAACCCCAAAATCAATTTCAGAATTGTTTTTTAGGGGAGGGCCAACAAAACAAATTTTGGCGTCAGAACTAGGAGATGTCTCAAAACACCTTCAGGGGAAGGAGCACCTGGAGGGGAAGACAAAACTAAAGGTCAGTGTGGTACCGGATAACATCATTGGAGGAAGATTGCGTTACCACATAAATTTCTGGAGGAACGAAATAACAAAAGATCCATGGATCCTTCAAATGATTTTGGGGGCAAAGATCGATTTTGAAAAAATACCAAACAACAAACTGTCCAGATACAATCCCCCAATTAAAACTGATGAAGAGAAACAGGCAACACAAAAACTAGTGCAAGATCTAGAAAAATACGAGATCATCCAAAAAATTAATTGGAACAAAAACTTAGTAATCAACCCAATTTTTCCAGTTAAAAATCATGATGGCTCATTCCGCCTCATATTGAACAGCAAGGCGGTCAATACAGAGTGTGTACCATACAAACACTTTAAAATGGAAAATTTAGATCTAGTCACTCAGGGAATCAGTCAAGGAGATCTCATGACATCTCTAGATTTAAAAAGGGGTATCATAACGTCGCATTACACCCTGATCACCAGAGATTTTTTGCTTTCCTATGGGAGAAAACGCATTATATATTCAAAGCACTCCCAATGGGGCTGAGAGAAGCACCCAGACTATTTACAATTATCATGAAAGCAATTCTTAGAGTGGCTAGAGAGCAAGGAATAAGAGTACATGCATATATTGATGATACTTTGATAGTGGCATCCACTATAGAACAATGCCACTCAAATACTGCAAAATTCCATCAATTACTCTTGGACGCAGGTTTTCTAATTAATATGGAAAAATCTCGCTTTCAACCAAGCACAAGGAGAAAACACCTTGGTTTTATTCTAGACAGCAACGATCTATGTCTAGAGCTCCCGGAAAAGAAATACAATAGACTGAAATCTAACATCGCAAATCTACGAAAAATATATGAAAACAAACAGAGTATTCCCCTTCGGAATTTTGCACAAATTGCTGGTTTCATCCTAAGCTGCATACCAGCAATACCATACGGGCATGCTCACTTCAGATATTTAGAGAGAATCAAAGCAGATATCCCACAACCAATCCAGGATTGGGAACAACCAATATATCTCAATGAAAACGCCTTTGAAGATATAAAATGGTGGGAAAAAATTAGATCACCCTGTAAAAAATCCTTTGAAAAAAAAAATTGTGACCCACAGGATAACCACAGATGCATCCACCTCAGGTGGATGGGGAACAATTTTGGGAAGCCCCAAGATATCAGGAACCTGGAGAATAAATAACGGAGAGGCCATTGGCCTTCTAGAACTCCAAACAGTCAGAATTGCCTTAAAAAATTTCCAGGCCAAAGGAATAAATTTCAAGAATGCAAATATTGTTNTATATACCATCCACACAGAATCCTGCAGATGCACTGACAAGAATACTGTCAAGGAAAGATGCAATTAAACTTGATGCAGAATGGAAACTGAAAGAAATATATTTCCAGCGAATCAATCAACAGTTCCAATTGATACCAGAAATAGACTGGTTTGCTACCAAACACAATCGACAGATAGAAAACTACTGTTCATGGTGTTTTAAAAAGGATGCAATTTTTACAGATGCTTTTCTACAAGATTGGTCAATTAATGTCGGGTATTTTTTTCCTCCTTTTGGTCTACTCAGCAGAGTACTCAGGAAGATCCAACAAGAAAAAGCAACAGCAATCCTGGTACATCCCATGTGGCCGTCCCAGCCTTGGTGGCCGGCGCTTGTACAAGCCAGAACAAGAACAATAATTTTAGACAGTCTGGCAGAAGCAATTTTCCTACCTCAAATCCCAACAGCGTGTCATCACCTCAGGAAAACCCAACTGTAGGCATCTCTTATTCTACCAGCAAATTAGATAGAATTGTTCAAGATACTATCAAGGCAGCCAGGGCTGAAACGACTCAGAAACAATATCAAAATATTGTAAGCAGATTTGAAAAATTCATCCAAGACAACAGTGAAAATATACAAAATGTAAATTTCACTACAGTATTGAGATTTTTGGCAAACTTTACGGCCGTCCCTCAGCAATTCTCCTATAGCTACATTCGCCTAATAAAAACGGCAATCACACAATGGCTTACAGAAAACAACAAGGAATCCATCATCAACCAAAACACCCTAGATCGATTCATGAAGGGTGCACAAAGAACGACGAGGACCTTTCAGAAGAAAGAAACCATATGGAATGCAGAAACAGTGTTAAAAAATATACAAAAAACACCGTACCCAGAATCAATCCTAGAACAAGCGCAAGAAACTGTGATCATCTTAGCACTAGCCACAGGACTGAGAGTAGACGATATTTCAAAACTAGGAAAAGAAATCTGAAAGGAAGGTCAAGACCTATTTATACCTTTTCTCGAGATCCAGAAAACATCCATGGCATCAAAAAAGACAAGAGCAGGCATAACAATAGCACCTTATAGCCAGGATCAGAGAATTTGTCCTATCAACCTGGTGGAGAGATACATCAACATGACAGAATTCTTGGAAAGATCACAATATCTTTTTGTCAGAGCAGACAATGGAGAAAGAGTCAAAAAAGCTACAATAAGAAAATGGCTCATAAACATCCTGGAAAGAATGAATATTCAAGATACACCAGGCTCAACCCGTGCAGCAGCAGCAACATGTGCATGGGCAAAAAACAGATCATTCGACTCAATAGCCAAATTGACAGGATGGAAAAAAGAATCTACCTTTCAAAAACATTATAATCGAAAATTGACTGAAAAAGGGCAAAATCTCATGGAAAATCCGACTCCAAACAGCAAATGCGCCCAACGCACCCCTGTTCACAGGGCAATGGGAAACGATCCAAAAATAGATCTAAAGAGGCTGTTTGAAAAAGACCCCCCTAAAAATGCCAAAGAAGAAAAACAGGGGGAAAACAGGAAACGCGTATATAAGAAAAAACCAAAACAAATTGTGCCGGAAGAGGCCATTGCACGCAGAACTCGTGCACAAATGGCAATTTGCGCAGCTCTTACTGACGAGTGAGTGTCGTAAAAAAAAAAAACGGCGACGCAAAGTGTATATATGTGAAAATCTGCACGGTTTATGACTATTTTCCGGCGACGATGTGAAGTGTATATACATGCAACTGCGACTCGGCAATAAATGTGTAAAAAGTGCTTAACGTCTTTTGTTAATATCCTGGGAATGGACCTTGTATCTGATTCTCAAGATTCGCAGTGAAGGGAATTTGGTAAGGTAAGTAGTAACAAAAACCCCCAGGCAAGGGCACCATTAGCCTGGGGAATGTTACTACCAAATTCCCTTCACTGTCCCAATAAAATCTCCCAGCCCACCCAAAAATGGGACAGATACAAAGTTCCGTATATAGCCCGCTAAATGTCTGACGCTGGGGGGATCCTTACGGGGAAAGTGGTTCAATATTTGCAGTGAAGGGAATTTGGTAAGGTAAGTAGTAACATTCCCCAGGCTAATGGTGCCCTTGCCTGGGGGTTTTTGTTTATCAGGGACCCCTAGAGGTTGCCCAATATACCCTCCACAGAACACGCCACTAAACACTGCCAACACTCAAATTGAACATCTCCATCCAACACACAAAACCAACTAACCATGAAAACCAGTACCAAAAAACTGGATTCCTCTTCCTGCATCACAGGAAAAAATCCATCACAAAACTTCAGTTTGTTCCAAGCTTGGGTTAGGGAAACTGTGTGCTCTGCTTCCAATTTCTGAAAGTGCAAACGTATCCAATTATTTACAAGTTCAAAAATAAACTGTTCATGGAGACTTAGTCTTGGCCGCGAACAGCCTATCGCGCATTACCTTTATTTCTTTGAAATTACTTTGCCTTTGACCTAAGGGTCACTGACAATGTTTTTCTAGACCTTGGATGGCAGAGGTTACCATATGGCTTTGATAAGTTGTTCTTCAGTGTTTAAACAGTAGAATCATTGCAATCTTTTTTTTTATGATCTCAGACGAAATTGACGGGAACTGAAAAGGATGATTTCTTGCCCCTGCGTTCCACGGCCTCCGAGAAAACCTTCATTTCCCCGCTGGATCCAAATTTCGGGAAAACTGTCCTGGACAATGTTGCAAACGAAAGTGAGTGCCGATTTATTTTCTGTGCCATTGAAATATGAGCAATGAAGAAATAAGCACGTCAATTCCAACATTATTCGAAATGGTAAAAAAAAAAGAAAACTTGGATGATGAGTGGGTTCAGAGTTTTGAAAATCCAAATACCGTGCCTTACGATTTTGTAAGTGAGCATTAAAAATCTGGAATATACTTAGAAAAAAAATTCTTACAAACGGCTGGAATCGGATCTTTAAAAAACGGAGAAGCGAAAAATGCACACAACATTTTATTAATTTGACCGAAATGTAAAGTTCTTGAATTTCTTCCTGATATTGGGTTCGGAAAGATTATTCTTACGCAACCTAACAGAGAAATTTCGTGTTAGTAGTGCAGTATTTTAGTCTCAATTCACTCAAATAATAATATAATGAACGTTGCAGCAGTATATAAGTTCGAAAAGTTGAAAAATAATTTAAAACAAAATTTGAAGAAGTTACAAACAATCTTTGCATATCATGATTTTCTTATGATATAAACTCAAACAAATGTCGTTATAGAATCGCTCTCAGCTGAAGTCTCTGGATTTTTGAATTTAAAAATGACCAATTGAGAGATTAAATTCAAACGAAAGTAATTGATAATAGCAGAATTTTTATTGGAACAGGCCAACGCCATTTTCAACATCATATACTAGAAAAACTCTTTTGAATGCGAATTGCATCCGGATTTTGAGAAAATCACGAGATTTTCACGCAATTACAGTAATTCTTCGACAAATTAAATTTTTAGTTTACCAAAATGTTTCTCACGTTATTCCTCATAGTCCATGAGTAGTATCAAGATTTTACAGTCGTTGCAACTATTATGTGTTCAACTACTTCCGACGGACTCGATGAAATTAATATTGCAGACAGCAATTGTTTCGGATAAAAAATGTTTGCTCGCACTTTCGGAATTAATCCATCACGAGAGAAAATATTTCATCCATCACGAATAGAGGTCACTGCACATGTACAGTATGGAATGTGTTGAAAAGCCCTTCAGGATGACAGTAATCGTGGATCATGTATTATGAATGAGTGACTCTCTCATCCCCGTCATGTTCTATGAACACCGTTTTCCATCACGATTCCAGCAATTGTCAATTCCTGGTCCATATAGGAGAAACTAATTAATAGTAATGACAATGCTTATCGCAATATTCCGCGGAATCGAACAGCACAAGTTGTACATCAGCAAGTTATAGTGTTAATTGTTGTACATTTTTGAATTTCTCAGAAGTCAGATGGCTCCCTTATAGACCTGGTACATGGAACTGAAAAAAAAAAATATACAGTCAAACCCTGTTGAGATGCCCCCTTTAAAGCGCCACCCTTGGCAACCGCCAAAATTTTGAATGAAGCAAATCTCCTCTATGTTAAAGTCTATAGAAAACCTCAACAAGGCGTCAACTGCCATCCGCCAGCATTATTGATGACACAAAAGTGCTGTTTCCAATTAGTTTTGTCTTTGTTATAATGCCAACATTGGGGTAGAATTATAATTTCTGCCTAGGGTCTTGTATTTGTAAGAAAAGAATAATAAGGTTGACATTTTTGAAGAATATATTGACCTAATCTTAAAATTTGAATAAATTGATGCAGCAAAATTTATTTTCTGAAAGAGTAATCCATTGATCACAGCAGTACTCTTTGGAAAATTACTGAAGTTTCTTACATAACCTGTATCTCTATGACTTTTGGAAGAAAATTGAGTATTCTTGATCAAATAATTAAAACTAAATATTTGATGTACCGCCAACCTCTTTAAACCACCAAAATTGCTCTGGACAAATGGTGACGTCTCATTGGGGTTGACTGTATTTGTTTTGCAATGATATTTGTTGCTGGGCTTTCCATATTATTGCCTCTCAGGCTCAACTGTTTCATCCCCATTGGCAACTGGTTCAAAGTGCATTTCAAAATGTCTTCTGCCAACTTAGGGAGTGAGGTGTTGAGTGGTGACCAAGTTGACATTGCTACAATGTTCTTGCCTCAATGGCATGGCAATGCATTGGGAATGCAGTTTGGAATGTCCAAATTTTTTGCCGGGATGTACAATAAAAATGGAATTTGATGTATTTTGAAAGGATGTGACAGACTGAATTGGGCCAGCAATTAATCCTTGCCACAAAGTTCAGCATGCTCCTCATTTTAGGAGCAATGCAAGGTCCAGAAAATCACAATTTACAATTTAGTGCAAATTTTTCTATGATGTTTCCCACAACAGAAATGTGCATGCTCCATCACTGAAACATCTATAACTCAAAACCTCCCAAAGTCAAAGCCTTTCCAAGTCAATTTTTTTTGCTGGTCCCTTGAGATTTGACTTAGAGTGGTTTACCTATGTAATGAATTTTTGGTCACATGTACAAGGATCTGTAGGCAAGCAATCTGAATAATACAAAAACAATGTAACCCGCTTGTAATACTTGCAATCTTTTGATTCTACGGAATATTGCAATAAGTATTGCCATTATAAATAATTAGTTTTTTGTTGATTGGTTTTTATAGACGGGTTCTTTCCCACGAAACTAAGTGCACCAGAAAAAATCGTCCATATATATATATATATATATAGAGAGAGAGAGTCCACCTGGCTAAGCATGCATTCATATGGATCCAAAAATTATTTATGCAAATTAATTATAATGATATTGTTTCAACGCCCACTCTAAGACAGGCTTTCTGCTGCCGAGACTTGAGAAAAAGTTTGTTAGACTGAAACATTTGTTTTTACATTATTGGTTGGAACCGTGAGGATTTCATTGTATCAACACTTTCCATACAAAGCAGCTAGTACAGTATACTGTATTTATTTCTTAAAATTTTGGCATAATGTCAACATCTTTGAGAAATTGTCGAGGATGCATATAGGGACATACTTTTTCAGGTTCAAAGTTTCCATGAGTAAAAACCATCCGCGTGTCAGTTCATCAATCGTACTTGCTTNCCAACTTAGGGAGTGAGGTGTTGAGTGGTGACCAAGTTGACATTGCCACAATGTTCTTGCCTCAATGGCATGGCAATGCATTGGGAATGCAGTTCGGAATGTCCAAATTTTTTGATGGGGTGTACAATAAAAATGGAATTTGATATGTTTTGAAAGGATGTGACAGACTAAATTGGGCCAGCAATTAATCCTTACCACAAAGTTCAGCATGCTCGTCATTTTAGGAGCAATTCAAGGTCCAGAATATCACAATTTACAATTTAGTGCAAATTTTTCTATGATGTTTCCCACAACAGAAATGTGCATGCTCCATCACTGAAACATCTATAACTCAAAACCTCCCAAAGTCAAAGCCTTTCCAAGTCAATTTTTTTTGCTGCGGTCCCTTGAGATTTGACTTAGAGTGGTTTACCTATGTAATGAATTTTTGGTCACATGTACAAGGATCTGTAGGCAAGCAATCTGAATAATACAAAAACAATGTAACCTGCTTGTAATACTTGCATTTTTTGATTCTACGGAATATTGCAATAAGTATTGCCATTATCAATAATTAGTTTTTTGTTGATTGGTTTTTATAGACGGGTTCTTTCCCACGAAACTAAGTGCACCAGAAAAAATCGTCCATATATATATATACAGAGAGAGAGAGAGTCCACCTGGCTAAGCATGCATTCATATGGATCCAAAAATTATTTATGCAAATTAATTATAATGATATTGTTTCAACGCCCACTCTAAGACAGGCTTTCTGCTGCTGAGACTTGAGAAAAAGTTTGTTAGACTGGAACATTTGTTTTTACATTATTGGTTGGAACCGTGAGGATTTCACTGTATCAACACTTTCCATACAATGCAGCTAGTACAGTATACTGTATTTATTTCCTGAAATTTTGGCATAATGTCAACATCTTTGAGAAATTGTCGAGGATGCATATAGGGACATACTTTTTCAGGTTCAAAGTTTCCATGAGTAAAAACCATCCGCGTGTCAGTTCATCAATCGTACTTGCTTATATTACCAAAAATGAAGCAAATATGTTTATACATTTTTGTTAACCGTGGTTTTTTTTTTTACAGAGACTGTTTACATCGACTCTCGAGACGTGCTCAGGTACATGATCATTTCGGACTACAAAAACTTGCGCCTGGAGAGAAATTTTCCCGAATCGGCGAGTTGCAGATTCATTTTGCCTGACTCGGACATAGTCTCCTACAAATTTGGCTTCGCGTTTCCAAAAAATCCGGACTATTCTCATAGTCAAAATTTTGGACCTTAGTGAGTTTTGATGATCTTACAGGATCACTTGACCAGATCCTAAAAATTGGCACATTAAAGAATATCCGACTTATTCACAATCCATGACTACTTTGATTAATTTGGGTGAGCAATCAATTATGGCTCATCGGNTTGGACCTTAGTGAGTTTTGATGATCTTACAGGATCACTTGACCAGATCCTAAAAATTGGCACATTAAAGAATATCCGACTTATTCACAATCCATGACTACTTTGATTAATTTGGGTGAGCAATCAATTATGGCTCATCGGCGAGCAAAGAAACTTTGAAAAATTACTAAACTTCTGTGATATTCCCTCGTCGGAGTACAGTATTTTTCAACATTTGTTATCCAAAAAAGCTTTCATTTTTGCTATAATATTAACTATTCAATATTTCCTGTATCACTAAACAACACTAATTACATAAAATCCTGCCTCCTCACTTTAAAAATGAATGGAATATTAAATCTGAATGAAAAAAAATCCGGAGAAAAAGTGTCATTAATCCAATTTTGTGCATAATACAATTTTTCCAGCTAAAGAGTACACACAAAGTTTTATGTTCAACTTTAATGATTTTTTAGTGGTTTAAACGCAAAATTTGCGAAGTTTTGCCTTTTCTAGCACCAAAAATGAGTGAATTAGCACAATTTTCGGGTTTTCCTCAATTTCAAACATATCATTTTCAAGTAACAAATTCTCCTAATCACTTGCTTGAATTTAAAGTTTTAAAGTCCGTCAATGAATCTTTGCTATAATCTGAAAAAAATATTGAAAATATTTGAATCAATACTTGAGGGAGATTTTGTTTTTAAAACATTTCTTTAGCTCTACAAAACACACTAAAACAAACTGGTTGTGTGATGTGCTGGGTATATGATTTTAAAACGTATGCATTATAAGGTTCAGAGTTTATCATGAGTGAGCTTTTCCAGCAATGTATTTTAAATTTCGGAACTCCTGTAAACAATATTTGAGTAAGAATGGGACCTATATGAATATAAAAAATGAAAATGTAAATTAGGGAGGAAAAGTTGATGAAGTTAATAAAGGTGTTTGAGATGTAAATTTAAAGTAGTGAGAGGCAAAATTAGGGTCTCATCATACCATATTTCAAACGTAAGACATCATCACTGTTTCTTGGATTTTTGAATATTTTTTTCAATGATGGTATCCTTTTTGTACCATTTTTCACAATTCCAAGATCAGGTTAAATCATGGTTCATTTTTGAAGAGGCTGCCCCTGTTATGAATTTGCTCTTCAGTGCTGTATATAGTGTAGATGACTTGAATGTCATTCAAGGGCATTTAAATCCAGAAATACAACTTTCAAAATCATCTTGGGCCTTTTCCTGCTTCTAACTAATAATCTAATCATATCACTGGAAAATCCCTTTATTTCCTCAAGATGGGCCCATTTTTCATTCAGCATTAGTCATAAAAATTTTTGTTGGCATTATAAGTGAAATAGCACTAAATCAGGAATATCTTGTAGAGCCCAATCAAGGGGTATTTTTTCCAGGTAATTTTTAAAAATACACTATGCAAAGGTGGGACTAAGTGAATCTTGACTAGATAGATAGGTCTACATATGCGCTTTATTTGCCACTTTGTAGCATTGAAATTTTTTTCTTAAATTCACCCCGCCCCCTACAATACATACACACATCAATTCAAAATAAAAAATGAATAAAGTGTCCATAGCAGTTCATATAAAAGTGCATGAGTTCTTTGATTGACAACCTTTCTTGATGAAAAAACACAACACCAGGCAATTAGTGAGCATAATTTAGAGCAAAAGGTATTCAGCCTGTTCCCAGATAATTATCAATTCGTTGAAAAATTTAGAAAGAATCTTCCAGGATAAATTGTACAAGTATAGGACCAACACTTTTTCCTGGTTCTTCAAGATTTCAAAAAGAATTTTTCTATTAAATTGGAAGTGTCCCAAGTCTTTCAGATCTTCAATTCTGATGATGC